CAGGCCTGTTTGTCAGAGATGAGAACAAATTCGTCTTCACCAAGGTTCTGGTTGGGCAAGAGGCTGAAGCTCATTTCAGTATCTACAGTGCAAGTGGTCTGCCATGTGACGTGGTCCTCTCCATCAAACCCCTGCCTGGAAAGGTAAGAACAGGAGGCCAAGGTGATGGTGGCTGTCTAAGGGCCGTGTGAGAGCCTGTTTTGTTCTCCAGATGCATTGCTTCCTGTGGCCTAGACTAGTCTAGCTCAGTGCAGGTCAAACTGCAGGGGAGAGCAACAGAGCCAGGGAACAGTTTTGTTGAATTTTGCATGTCCTGGGCAAGGTTTTGGCTCACACTGCTGGGTGTTCAGTGGGAGAAGTGAATCCTTCTGAACCTCTCGTGGAAGCACACTCAGAGAGGGGCTGTTACAAACTGACATGCCAGGGCTCAAAGCAGAGCATTTCCTCAGCCTCCTTGGCTTTTCCTTCTATTTGAAGGCCAGTTCTAGGTTATTTGCAGGGTTTTCCATGCAGTGCTCACCTCCTATATATGCTGGGGCAGCTGCCAGCACTCAAAAAACACAATGCTTTAGCTCAAGGTCAGCATTCCCTGGGAGGGAGGGAGCCTGCCCAGGGAAGCAGGAAGGAAGACACACTGTCTGGGGCTGTTCTCAGTAATGCATTTACGAATAAAACTGTTCAACTGTCATGTTGAAAGGTGTTTTCTCCTAACAGTGCTCTCTGGGTTCCACCAAGGAAAAAAGCCCTATCAACAACATTTTCAAGTTGTGTCCAGTCAAGATGTCCATTCCTGGCTCATCCAAAGCCATTGCTACAGTGACCTTCACCCCACCGGACCAGCAGAGCTACGACTGCACTTTCAAGGCTTCCCTTGTCATCCCAAAAGGGTAACTGACCCTGTGAGATATTGGGGGAGGCTTCACTGATCCTGATCCACTGAGAGGGAGCTGCCTCTCCACTGGGAAGGCACAGATCTCTTGTTAGATCTAATGCTTTTAGCAGCCTTAGGCAGAGTACTTGGCATGAGTTGATCTGGGAGGCAGTAGCTGTTAGAGCAGAAAATGAGGCTGATGGTTTAGCCTGTATGAGGAACTATGAAGACAGGGAAATATTAGGTAGTCAATTGAGATGTGCTGCAGCTGAGCTGCAGGTTTCCAAGGACAAAGGCTTAGATGAAGCAGTTTTGGTCCCAGCAAATCATCGGTCACAATTTCCTCCTTGTTTCTGTAAAATTAAGTGATCCTCTGTAATTCCCTGACATTCATTAAGCTGTTTCATGTGAGTGATTGGAGCTGGTATGAAAGAGGAGCCCAGTTCCTCTGCCCTGGGACCTGTGTCATGGGGCTTTGACCTGCCTTTCCTCAACCCTTTAGTGGCTGAATTGGAACAAGAGAAGTCTAATTGCTAATAAGCAATTGCTTTATTACTGTTCTTGGAAATGATCTTGACTGATGCTGACGATTATTTACTTTTGCCTTCTTGCTTTTGTACTGCTTTTCTGCTGTGCTTTTGCTTGTTGCATATGTCTCCTCTCACTGCAGCCAGGGGATTTGCCATATCTCATGGAGTGCCTCATTTACCTGCTGTACTGCATGATTCAATTAAGTGAAATTATTAACTGTTGTTGTGGAAGGCTCTGGCTCTTTGGAGCAGATTCCTTTTGTGAATGGCCCTGAGTGGATTGGGAAGAGGCTGGTGGGGGACTGTGTTGTGGGGTACAAGTGCACCAGGCAGGGAAAACATTGCGGGTGGCCCTTGCTGCTTCACTTGCCCAGTGAGAAATGGGTTAGTGCCAGCTGAAATCGTTTCTGTGCCTCTCCTGCAGCTCTGTGAAAATTAAACCCCAAACCTTGACCTTCACCATCAGTGGGAAGGGGCATGTGCCACAGGTGACAGTCGTGTGCCCAGGTGCTCGCAGCAAGAGGGGAAATGCTGTGCTGCGCTTCAAGAGGCTCCAGGTGGGGGATTCGGAGGTGCTCCCCCTGGTCATCCGTAACAATGGCGTCATACCTGTCAAGGTGAGAACCTGCTCAGGGAATGCTCTGGTTTGGGAACAAGTGCTTGTGGCACAGGGGAAGGGTCCCAAAAAACATGGCAGACCTAGAAAGAGGTGTCAGAATTTTTAAGCCAGTGACTTACACCCAAGAAAGGAGTTCTTGGAAATTTTCTGTCCAGTCTTTCTTCTTTAAGTTGAATACAAGAAAGGTGGTGGAATATTTTCCTCCCTGTCCCTCAGGTCACCTTTCATTTTCACGGACTTGTGTGTGATTTCCCCGTTCCATTAGATTGCATTTGATCTCAGTTTACTGCATTTTAAGTAAACTTAGTTGTGGTTTAATTACATTCTGCTAATTAGTTTCTGTCCTGTTTGGTTCTGTGTCAGTTCTATCCAAATGTCTCTGAACACCCTTTTTTCCCAGCTGGTTTGATTTAACTGTTGTGCTAAGGGCTGTTTGTAGTGGGAGAGGAGCTGGGTTCCCGTGCAGGACCAGCAGCACTGTGGTGTCAGTCCCTGTGCCATCGTGTACTCACACCAGTATCATTGTGCTCTGTGTCCCCTTTTCTCAGTTTATGTTACACCTGGAGGATGAACACGGAGCATTCTTCTTGAAAGGCAGGGGCTCCACACTCGAGAGATTGTGTGCTGAAGATGTTGTGGAAGAGGACTGTGTTGGAAATGGTAAATTCATTAACCATGAAGTGTGATCATGCACAGAAGAAAAACGTGTGCCCTGCTCTTGGCTTCTCTGAGCAGCAGCCAGATGTTAGACACAGTTTCTTTCCTTGGGCTCTCTGTCACCTAAGCTTTTCTTGGGGACTTTTTGCAGGGTTTCCTCCTAGCAAGTTGTAGGAAGTTCTTCTCTTCTAGATATAGTGGGTTGAGTTGTCACTTCCTCAGTGGGCCCTCTGAGGTATTTGCTGCATTGGGAAAGTACCAGCCTGAACGGATGCAGCCCTTGAACACACAGACACCCAGAAGAAGCTGAAAGCACTCTGGCTCAGCTTTCCATATGGCTGGAGCTGGCTGGAAGCAGATGGAATGAGGGCTGGGCATCAAACTGATGTTAAGCTGCTTAAGTGGTGATGTGTCTGGAGGTGGCAGTCTCGTGAACATAGGAAGAGAGTCTGCAATCACTGGGTATAGAACCTGTGCTTAGAAGGCAGCTGGTTTCAACCTCTTATTCCTCATATATCCTATGGAAATATTTCCTCTGTAGAGCTGTATCACTTAACTCTGATTTCCATTGCTGTGCAGAGGGCAAGCCCCCAGAGAAGCCTTTCCTGCTTCTGCGTCGTGGGCAATCGGCACAGTTTGATGTCATTTTCAAACCCCCCCTGGCTCAGCGTCTGGAAGGGAAGATTCGTGTGTTAGTGGCAGACATCTACTCTGACAAGACCCTGATAGAGCTGGTGGGTGAAGGCCACAAGGATGAATTCACCCTTGATGGACTAGAGGAAGACAAAGAGGAGAAGAATGCTAAGAGCAGTCTGAAGAAAGACACCATTGATGGTAAGAGAGGAGAAGCTGCCAAGGTGGAGCAAGGAAGAGGAAAATGTCAGATCATGTGTGTCCTCTCTCTAGCCAGGCCTGGGCTGTCACCCACAGGACTTGGTGGCCTGTGGGCGTGGCAGCCATGCATGCAGAGCAGTGTGTGTTGTGCTGCATGTCGCTGGCCTGGGGATGTGTCAGGGTGTTTCCCTGAAAGTGGTGGGATGGGGAGCTGCCTGGGGAACTCCCTCCCAGCAGGAGGAAGGCTTGGAGCAAGGAAGCATTGAACATACGGGTATCTGTGCACGTGAGGGGAGCGGGTGGAGCTCCCTGCGTGCTGAGATCCCTTGCTCTCCTCCTTAACAGCTGTCAGAGTGAATCACATCCAGTTTGGGGACTGTCCTGTCAGGAAGCCCTGCCGCAGGACCTTCACCATCACCAACCATAGCCAGAGGCAGGTCATGCGCTTTGAGTGGGAGGCACGTGCAGCATTCCAGTTCTCCCCCAAGGTGAGCATGGACTGCCCTGCCTGCTCCTCCCAGGAGCTGGCAGGGAGTCCTCCCATTGCAGTGATGGCCCATTGCTGAAAAGGCTTCATGTTATGGGAGGGTGGCACCTTCTGTTCATACTTTTGTCTATCAAACTTCACATAAATCCACACTGAGGTGCAGATTCCTGGCACAGCTCCTCACCACATCAGTCCCTTTTGCTGTCAGTCCTACCCTTGGCAGTGCTTCCAGTTTGGTCTTGATTCCCTGATTCTCCTTAGATGGGACACCTCTATCCTGGCTGTGCCAAGGACATCACAGTGACCTTGAAATCAGATGTCCCAGCCACCTTCAGGAGGTACCTTGTGAAATGTAAGGTGACCAAGATCAACTTAGAACTGCCAAGAAGGAAAGTTCAAGACTGGGATGACCAAATGTCCATTGTCATGTGGAATGATACCACCAGGAAAGACCCAAAAGCCACCTGGCCTGAGAAAGAGAAGGTAAGGAGCAAAATGGCAAAACAAGCCAACCCAGCTTTTACCACCATAACACCATCACTGCTGGCTGAGCAGCTCCTGCTTCCTCTGGACATTGGACAGCCATGGGGTTCACCAGCAGTGCATTCTCGGGGAGAGCTGGATGCACAGTGACCAGATACACTCACACAAGAGGGAGAAGCCTTTTGACAAGAGACCTTTAGCCACACACAAACGATCAGTCTGTGCCACAAGCACAAGTGTTGCAGGCCATGTTGAATGGGAGACAATGTTTTATAATTTTATCCAATTTGATGGTGTTAGAAATCTCTTCATCTCATTTGGTGCCTTTTCACCAGCAAGGAGTTAAGTCTGTTGTTGCACTCTGTCTCTTCTTTTGAAGTGGAGAGAAATACACTTCTACTGGTTTACTTCAAGTTTTGCCTGCATGGATACCAGAGATTTTGGTTGTGGTCTCTGTATTGTGTGGGATATCTCATCATGGAGTAGCCCAGGCACTGTATGACAGTATGGAGGAGTCTGGAGAAGGATCATCTCCAGAGACTCCTGCTTTTATTGTCATTATTGCCAAACACACTCATCTTGGCTGAAGGTTCTTTCTCAGTTTCTGGACCATTTCAAGGCCTCTAAACCATCCTCTTCTCTATGAGAACATCTGCAGTTGGAGACTTTCCTAGTGAGATCTTTCACATCCCAAAGTGCCCATCCCCAGCTCCCAGCAGTGTGGCTGTTGCTCCACACATGACATCTGGAGAGCACTTGCTCCTAAAACAAGAAGAAAAAGATGCTTTCTAGAACTCTTCAGTCTTGGGGTTCTCCACCACAGAGCTTCAGCAGGGGAACTTAATCCTAATTTTGAGACCTGCTGGATTTATAGGGGACCAGGAAAAAATCCAGTCCCTCTACAAGTTTGAAGTACAGGGACTGGAATGCAGCTATAGTCCCCATGGATATATTAACAGCTGTGGTAGTGACTGCTTTGATCAGTGGGTAGGAACAACTCCTGTAGCAGATCAGTCACAATTGTGTCATCTTTCCAGGGAAGTAAAAGTGAATGGTCTTTTCTAGTCTCTCTGTGAGGCTGATCTTGGAGGTCAAAAGATTCCCTTCTCAGCTTGACTTTCTGGGCTGTGCTCAGTGATTCTTCCCTCCTCTGCAGATAGTCAAGACAGTCTTGGAACCGGCTTACACTGTGGAGGGGGAGAGCAGCCAGGAGTTCGAGGTGTACCTCAGTGCCTTTGTTGCCTACGCTCAGTTCAAACTGAACACAGTCATGGTTCAGCTCAAGGATACCTTGCCCAACCAGACAAGGACAGCCACGTGAGTGCTGGAGGCCAGCAGGGCCCTGTGAGCGGGAGCTGCCTTTGCCAGGGCTGACCCAGTGCCTGCTTCCCAGAACTCTACCCCAGGCCCATTTATGTGCAGGCAAAGCCAAGCAGGAGATGGTGGTCAGGAGAGGTTCAGTGCTGCCATATCTTTCTGCTGAGAACAGCCATGGGTTTGCTTTCACTGCATATCACCTGTCCTCATCTAATCAAGAATAAGTTTGCAGTCAAAGCAAGACCTAAAGTCTAGAGTAAGCCTCTTAGCCTCGATGTCCTGGGCACCATGTTGGCCCTTTCATCTTATACTTCCAGACTTGGAAATACTTTTTTGGGCCACCCAGGACAGCAGTCTGAGCATGGCAGGGTTGCCTGGGGAAGAAGATGCTCCTCAGGAGAAGTGGTACCAGGAGTCTATCAGACAGTGTTACTGTACCATATGCTTTATATTTATTGGACTTTTTTTTTATTCCTCCTTCTTGCTTTTCAGTTTCAGAATGAGCAACACAGGGAAAGTAGCCCTGGAATACACCTGGGTAGAAGATGCAGATAGTGAAGCAGTGAAGAAGCTATACTCAACCACTGTGATGTGTAAGGGCATTTCACTTGGTGGCTGAGGGCCTGGGGAGAAGATCCTGCTACTTCACCCCAAAACATTAATTGCTTTTGCATCCTTGTCCACATGTCCACTTTAATCAGCATCTTCCCTACTGCAGCTGGAGAGTTTTCTCCTTGTCCCCTTCTGCCTTTCAGCCCCTTTTGTTCTTGCTCTGCCACTTCTGCTCTGCCAAAGAGCTGAGCCAGGCTCTGGGGAGAGCCACATGCTGGGTCAGGACTGGGAAGGGGGACATTAGGTGATCTCTTTGAGAAGTCTGAGACCAGGAAAAACAAAGCTATAATGAGTGAGCTGCCCTGCAGCCACTGTCTGTGTGCAGTTCCCCGCTCCAGGGCAAATGCAAAGTCAATGTCTAAAATCAACTCTCCTGCTTTGGCACAGGAGTGTGTGCTGCAGGCAGAGACCCTGCTCCCAGACCCTCTATTTCCTGCTGAAAGTACTTGGCTAGAGATGCTCCCAGTGCATCCCAGCTCTCTTTGACCTACCCGCAGCAGGAGGCAGAGTTGCTGGGAACATAGGATTTTGTCTTTAAAAGGTGTCATCTTCCTCTCTGCAGGTCATTTCCTCTCTTCCACTCCTCTGAGGCATCACAGAAAGCAGCTGCGTCCTTTCTGGTGGCAGCAGGAGCATCCTTTTGAGACGCATCCTTCTAGACTGCAGCAGCTTGCCAAGCAGCAGCAGGAGGAGGATTCCGAAGAACAGCAGCAGCGGGAGGATTCCGAGCAGGAGCCTTCTGAGCAGCAGGAGCCTTCTGAGCAGCAGCAGCAGTCTTCTGAGGACGAGCAGCTGGATTCCAAGCAGAAGAAGCATTCCAAGAAGCAGCACCACTCCAAGGAACGGCCTCTCTCTGACCAGCAGCAGGAGCAGCCCCAGCAGCAGCAGCAGGAGCAGCCCCAGCAGCAGGAGCAGCCCCAGCAGCATTCTGAGCAGCAGAAGCCCAAGCAGCCCAAGCGGCAGGACAGCTCCAAGAAGCTACGCCACTCAGAGCAGAAGCGCCTCTCTCTGGAACGTGTCAATTCCTCCCTAGAAATATTCCCAGATGTCATCCATAACCTGCCACTGTTCTCCATCAACCCTTACCGTGGCATCATTGCTCCTGGCCAAACACAGACCTTTCACGTGCTATTCTCCCCGAAGTGCACGGGCAAGTTTGAGACCACCATGCTGTGCAGGTGGGAAACGTCTATATACTTGCCAGCTCATGCTTCTGCTGGGTATCGCTGAATCACAGGGTGGGACGGGGTGGAAGGGACCACAGTAGGTCATCTGGTCACACTTCCCTGCTCAAGCAGGGTCATCCCAGAGCACATGACACAGGGTTGTGTCCAGAGGGCTATGAAATAATTCCAGTGAGGGACACTCCACAGTCTCTCTGGGAAACCTGCCACCTGCACAGGAAAGAAGTTCTTCCTCAGATTCAGGTGGAATTTCCTGTTCAAGTTCTGCCCATTGCCTCTTGTCCTATTACTGGGCATCACCAAGCACAGCCTGGTTCATCTCCTAACATGCTCCCTTCAGGGGAGGTGGGCCTGGAGACAGGCAGCCCCAGAGAGGCAGCAAAACACCCAGAGGAGCACAGAAAGATCATCATCTGGCCTTGGCAGGGAGACACTGAGAAAATTCACTGTGTGAAACATTAAGCTCCTGGAGGGCTGCAAAATCCATGAGAGATCCAGGGACCACCCAGTCCCTAGCTCTGCTTCCTTTTGGGACAAGCAAGGCCTGCTTCTCTACATGGAACCCTGTGTTTTGTAGTTGGTCCCCAGGCACTTAGGTGGTCACGTTCCTGCCCTTGCACCTCTGCAGCCTCCGTGCAGCGAGTGCAGTTGTTTAATTTGCTGCTCACTGCTTGCACAGAGAGAGGATGCAACACTGCATGCTCTCAAGGACACAGAAAAGCAGCTGGCTGGAAATGTTCATCTGGCTAATACCAGTCCCTTTCTTCCTAGGATTCCTAACCTGAAGCCGGCTCTGAAGAAGGCAGAGGTGATTGTGAAAGGCAGAGCCCGGGAGCAGAGGAGTTTTCGTAAACCAAAACGCTCTGCATTACGGCAGACAGGGAAAAGCCCGGGACCCAAGAAGCAGGTGCACTGGAAAACAATACCTGAGTGACAGCATTTGTGTCAGCTGCAGCATGCAGCAGGAGCCAGCAACATCGTGTCTTCTGCTGCTGATGGTCTCCCACCCTTCACCAGAGACCCCTGCAGCTACCCTTCCCAGCTCCACTGAACACCTTTAGCTTATCTTTAATTACCTACGCTAATTAACTAATTGCTAATTAAACCCTTGGCAATAAATTGTTAATTGTCAGCTTGTCTTGTTTGGAAAGACAGGTACCTGCGGGACCTCTCTGGAATGGAGAATATGACCCCCTTCCCTCCAAATTATTATAACTTTGAAATTAAGGGGCTTTCAGGCAAAGATAGGGGAAAAGGAGGAACAGTTCTTTACTAGTATGTATAACAAGGCAAACATACAACAACAGCAGCAACAACAAACAGAAACGGCTACCTAACCACAGCCTTCTCTCGGCTGCAGGCACTTTCCCTTGGGTGTAGTTCCAGTCACAGCCGGGCAGGGAAGGGAGGCAAATAATGAATAAAGCAATTGCTAGAGAAATTTTAATTAAGCTACACCAAGGACTACACTGGAGAACTCAAGCACTGTGTAATCAATTCTTAAGAACTTATTGCTGTGAGGGAGTCTATACAGTAGACAAATAGTGACTGAACAATGCTTGATTTGTTAAAAGATAAATAAGAAAGTGATGAGAAAACACACTAGAGTGAGGGAAGAGCCCTAGCCCTTAGACCCTTTCAAAATATGCAAATAAATTACACTGAGTTCCCCAAAATACAGAAATGGAAGTATCTTCTTGTAATAGTTGATCACCTCGCCCATTGGGTAGAAGCCTTTCTTGCCCCAGCTGCAACTACCTCCAAAGTAGGATACTATTAGAAGAAATCATTTCCAGATATGGGATAATTGAAAGAATGGACTCAGATAAGGGAACATACTTTACTTCAAAAATTTTACATTCTATATGTGTTGCATTAGACATGAATTGGAAATTTCATACCTCTCAATGCTCTGGATGTGTGGAGAGAATGAATGCTATCCTTAAGAACCATATTACCAAATTAATGACTGGGCAGGGCCATGACTGTGGCACTGGTACTGCCAGGGTATGGCCTTTGAAGGCCCCTCAACAAATATCCACTTTATTCCTTGTCTTGGGGTGACTTTATGATGCTTGTATATCCCCAATCGTCTGTTCTGTGGGCGTTGAATATTGAGTTCTGCAGCTTTTTAAGCCTGGTTCCAGGAGTGAAGGGGGAGAGGAGAGGTGCAAAGTTTGTTATCACAGACTGCACTGGCTCCCCTGCATCCTTCACCCTGACTGTGTTGTGTGCAGTGGACAGCAGCAGAGAGCTCTTCTTTGCTTTTGGTTGGTTTTTTTCTGGCTAGCTGAGGCAGAGAAGCTCCCTGGACTGTAGTTTTGTTTCCTTTATCTTGGTATTGTGTGACCCTGCTCTGGACTGAAAACCCAGAAGAGCACCGGGAGCTCACACCTGTGTCCCACCAGGCCTGGCCTGGGCTGTGACATTTCCCAGGGATGGAGGGACTGAGAACAGCCTGAGTGAGCTGGGCTGCGACCCACGAAAGGGACAATTCTGAATCTGTCATCTCTTCAGAGTGGCAAGAGATTTTGCTTTTCAGAATTGTTCATTTTTATTCTGGGAAGTGCTTTGCCTGTTAAATAAACACGGGTTTTTTCCACTTGTCTCCGAGGAAATATTTCCTGGAACCAGCTGGTGGAGGGACTGCTTTAATCTGTTTCCTAGAGGGATCCCATTCAGAAGTTTCCCCCCAAATTTGCCCAAAACCAGGACATTCCTCTTAACACTGTCTAGCCTCTGTTCCGGCTCCTCCCGCCCTGCCGGGGATCCGTGTTCTGTAAACCACGAAATTCCCCCAGCAGCAACGAAACAAATTGTTTTCCAGCAGTTCTCCACAAAACTTAACTGCAGGGAATGAAAAGAACGTTTTGGTTTCTCCTCACCCAAGCGTGCTTCAAACTTGTATAAATACTGTCTTAAAAGTGATTTTCATATCACTAGTAACTGTAAACTAGCAACTTGCTTATGAAATATATGTGATAAATGCTCATGTAAGTATTAAATAGCAAAGGTCTGATTATTTGAGCACTCAAAAATACAGAAATGCTAAATGCTGAATCCCTGCACATTAACTAAAAGCATGACTAAAACCTCACATTCAACTTCATTTAGTTTTGTATCCTACCAGTAACTTCCTTGTTTTGATATAAGCCTTTGCATGCATTTAAGTCATAAAAGCATATTTTATCTCACAGATATAGAAGATAATCTGTAATTTATTTTACTTACCTTTTCTCAATTGATCAATGGCCCTGGGGATTTATTTGTATGAAGAATGGCAAAGTGTAAATACACACACGTACAAAACACTTCTTCAGATTTAAAGCTAGATAACATACTATACCTACAAATGCCTTTGCAAACAAGAATACAAAGTACAGGAGTCCTTTAAAATCACTACATTCAAAATAAAAGTGCATAGAAATAGATTTCAGTAGTATTCAGGTATAACACAGGACTAGCACGAGAGAGCCCTTTTAACTTTACTTTGGTTAGGAGGGGTGCAAGGTTGGAGGATTCACGTTCTACTTCCTGCCCCAAAAACCGTGGAAGAATTTTATCCAAAGACTGCCCAAGGAAAGAACTGCCCATTAGTAAATGTGTGACTTGCAGAATTGCAGTTTTACTAACAAGCACTTAAATTATTTTTGTGCTCAAAGTAGTGTTTTGGGCACTCAGATGTCAGATAGATATCTAAATAAAGACTGAGTGTTCTGAGTTAAAAAACATACTTCCTAAATATCCAAATTAATGTCAATAAAACTGTGTAGAATGCATGGTGAGAAGCATGAAGCCCCAGTGGTTTTACTGCAAATCACTCTGTGGTTGGATCTCTGTTAACTTTTGTTTTTCAACTGGTCCAAATGGTTGATTTAATTCAAAAATGAACACTATTTACATTTGCTAAAAGGAGCAACAGCTGAACTGCTGCTGTTGTGCTGCAGTTCCACAGAATAATATTTAAAGTAGATAATGAAAACCAAACAACGGTTTGAATCTGTGCAATATGTACCACTTCTGTGCAGATCAGGTTGAGAAATGAAAAAGCTGGGAGCAGAGGAGGACTGTAAGTTAATAATTATGTCTCTTGGTACCTGTTTTGTTTACCAATTAAGGGTCTAATTGCTTTGCTCAATTTTAATTAAAAGTGTTATTTTAATTACTTTTCCTGCATACATTAGCAGTGAGAGAAAGCATTGAGTTTGCACCTAATATGATGAAGAGATTAAAATCAAGTTTTTAAAAATTTGTTTTAATAATTTCACAAGTGCTTAATACTGAAACCTCCCCCTTCTTCATATATGTGGCTTCTACTTCTCCAAGGATTTCATCCTTGGAGCCAAAAAAATAAAGTGGTTTTATTTCTTTTAACTTAAAAAGTCAACTGATATCAAGCATAATGAATGGAGGATATTAACAACATAACATTAGCCGAAGGAACTAATAGAGGAATATGAAAGGTTTGATAGCAGTTACTGCACGTGCACAGCACTGCCATCAGCTTTTACTTACCACACTTGCATCTGTTAGTGACTGAGCAGGGGCAGCACAAGTGCAAACACCCACAGGAACAGCTGAGGGTTTTCTTTGTCTTACTGGAGCCTTGCATTTGGGCACAAGATTCCAGGAGACACCAATTGCTTCCAGCTCACCTTGGGATTCAGATCAGGCCTGATGACACCTGGAGCTGCACAGCACATCTCGAATCCAGACTAAATCACTCGAGCTTTTAAAAACACCACCACATGCAGTAAAGTCCTGACCACTGTGAATGAGCTGCTAGTTCAGCAGCAATGAGGGAACAAGGATTTCCAGCACAAGGCACACCACGTGTCTGACACTGCCAGGGTGCCTGGTCAACTACACATAAGCATTTCTGTCCTCATGAATCTTCACCTTTGCTCTTCTTTCCTGGAGAAGACTCCTGCCAGCAGCTGCGTGAAGTTTGGTAACAAGATGGTGAGACACAAACTTCAGTCCTGTTGCCTGTATCCTACGTTTTCCATAGCCTACAGAACTGCCTTGTGAGAAATGTTAAATTGACCGAGATTTATTGCAACTATTAACCCGCCCTCTTCCCTCCACAAGCCCAAGCAAAACAAAACAAGATTGTGACAGCACCTGAAACCTTTTGTATTTTTATTGTGCATTTTGTAAGTGCTTAAAGATATCACACGAGACTGTATGAATTGTGTTGTCCACGTATAGCACATGTAAGAGACAGACAGATCCCCCGAAGTTTTCATATGTTAACTCAAATAGACACAAATTACATCAAATAGTCATCATATCTCATTACAGACAAGGCAAACCACAGAAACTATCTCGGATCACACAGAACAAAGGCACAGAAACTAAGAAGGAACTGAAACAGACCTTTCAAAAGTCTGTTTCACAAAAAATATTGGGAGCTTCTCACAACTCTTAAAAGAGATTAAAGATTATATTAATCTAATTAATCTAATTAATTAATTATATTAATCTAATTGAAGTTCCCAATTCAGAAGAAATTCAAGTGTAGCTTTCAAAAAATTAGGTACAAAGGAAATAAACAAACTTCATTTCTCCTCTTAAAAAATAAATTAATTGCCAGACTAAGTTGTCAGAGATTACTCTTCTTTCTTTCATATATAGATGCATACAAATTAATGAAGTAATTCTCAGAGGATGACATTAAGTTGTCAAGATCATAATCTACCTCAAAGGTAGGTCTCTCTCCAAAAATTACAAGAGCAAGAAATACTGCAAAGTGTGCAGTCAGTCCCCATATCTTGAATGACTTTTTATGTTCCTGGTCATCATATATAAAGCAGTGCATCCGAGTTAAATAACCTGAGGAGGTTTCATAAGAGAAGGCCTTGTAATTTAAGGGCTTGACAAAGTACTCCAGAGGCACAACAAAAACCTCGCTCACTTCATCTGGATTAGGAGTGACCTGGAATGTATCCTCTATGAATCCTACAACTGGTGCCACCAAGTTATTCATCTAAAAAGAGAGGAAAAAACACCAATAAATAAATAAAATTTTAAAAATCAACAAAAACCTCAAACACATTTGTACCAAGTAAAAGTGCACATTATCTAAAAAATATTTCCTTGTTACAAAATGAGTACAAGAAGCCTATGAACTAGTTTTAACTGCAATGCAATTTAGTCCCCCTAATGGCAAACTATTTAACTTGACTTGAAGAATTTGAAATCATATTTTTGTATTTGTCAAAAATGATTTTACAAATACTCTGTTCATCCTGTGATGTGCCTGTAATCATAGAGTAGTTAAAAAGGCTTGCCAGTTTGCTATAGAAGTAAAAAAGTATGCATGCTTTCTCATGGGTCTTCCTTATTTACTTTTTTTAATTCTGATTTTAATCCAGATTTTCAATATCCTTCATCATATTTCTGTATTGTTTTCTGGGTTAGAGGAATTTTCCAGAGTATGGAAGTATTTTTCTATAGATATAAAAATATTATTGCAATATATTTGAGCATAAAATATAACACTTTTTGAAACAGCTTAATTATGGACATTTTAATTCTAAATGTAATCCCTTCTTCCATAGGAAGGCAAAATCCACTGAAATCACAGTTTGCATCAATGAAACACCAAAATTCTTTAGGATACCTTGCTAGTTCTATTTATTCACACTAAGAAAGACCTCTGTAGAAAGGAGGAAGAGCAAAACAGTGTTTGTGGTATTCAAGTCTGGAAAGACTTTGTCCAAGTCAGAAGCACCTGGAATGTATATATTGAGGAGAAAATGTATCATCTGACATGTACAATATTCGTGGTCCAAAACCCTCATCCTCTCTCCTACTGACTGAGATAATTGGCTGAAAATCAGGGAAAATTTGATCTTTTTACACACCGCCTCTGAACTATGTGGCTTTAAGGTTACCTGTTCAGAAATTATAATTTAAGAAGTTAAAGAAAGCTTTTTGCAATGCAATTTCAAAAGGAATTCTTTCCTTTTTAAAGGGAGAGAGGATATTACTCACAGACAGAAAAACAGGAGGCATAGTAAGAAACTTACCTGGTGAACAAAAATAATTTTCAGAAACAGCAATTCCTCTGCTCTATGGGAAAACTGATCCTATGTAATACTGAACACTGCTATTGAAATTGAGAATCTGTTATTTTACAAATGGTGACCTACACTCCAAAGACACCTCTGGGAGTCTCCCTGCTAGAGGTCTCTACACTATCCCAGTGCACATCCCCTCTGGTGGTCCCTCTCCATCTGCACAGCCCTCGAGTCAGCAGACACTGAAGGAGACCTCAGTGAGGCCAGAGCAGCCTGCTGGGACCCTGCCTGGGTGAGTGAGCACTGCACAGCTCCAGGGATGGAGATTATACAGCCTGTCAGGAACATCTGCTCCAGTTTTGGGCTGACGTCATGGTGAAGAGTATATTTTTCTTCTATCTCATCAAAATGTCCCATGTTGCTGCTGTGTCTATTGCCTCAAGAAGAGTTCTGGTATCGTCCTCTCTACGACCACCCAGGAGAAGTAAGCAGCCAAACTCCCTGGTAGCCCACCCCTCTCAGCCTCTCTGCTCATCAGCCACTCTCTGGAGCCCTGTGACTGTGCTCATGGCTCTGCTAAACTCTCGCCAGTGCAGCATTGTCGTGTGGTACTCCAGAGCATCACTAACTGGTGGCCCAAAGGTGGTCCCACAATACCAAACACAGAGCAAGAGCCCTTTCCCTGGGCTCTGCTGGACACACGGGCTGCACACCTGAAGAAGCGGCGCCTCTTGGCAGTTAAAGGTTTGGAAAGGTCACTGCCAACCTCACAAAAGAAAACCACCCAAACTTATTTTGTAATGGTATGCTGACTCACTTTATCAATTCCAGGCATCAGCCTACAGATGACTTCCACCTTCTCTGGCTGAAGACCCACTTCTTCTTTAGCTTCTCGGAGAGCAGTGTCAATATCATCTTTATCAGTGGCTTCTCTTTTACCTCCTGGAAAACACACTTCCCCTGGTGATCTTCTCAGCTAGAATGTAAAGGACTAGAATGTACTACTGTTAAATATTACAAGGTTTATGTTCCTTATTGGATCCACACAGATGCATGTTGGTATTGCAGCATCCCTTTATGTTTATCTTTCCAGTCAAAGAAGCTAGAAACCGTAGTTAAGAAAGAAACATGCAAGGTAGCAAGAGTAGCTACTTAAGAAAATGCTGAGCCAACTCCCTGTTAATCCATAAACCCTCGTTATCAGAAATACACTGCACCTGTACAGTGTTGTGTAATTTATACTGGAACTGCTGCTTTAGTATGTCAAAGTTTACATTTCGCATCATATTGTTTGCATAAATGACTGACAGATTACACCAGACAAACAACTTGTAGAGCAAGATTAAAATACTCTAAGAGCAAAAACTTCCGAATGACACAATTAAATAATGTACCTGTGAAAGAGGAAATAACATTTTGCTTTAACCCGAAAACACTACGGAGCAAAAGAATGACAATGCTTGGTTCTGTTTCCTATTTGTTGTTATCCATAGTTGGGATGTGTTTTATTTAATCTGCTGGGTGTTGCTGAGAACTGGGAGAGGGGCAGGGTTGAAGACGTGACCAAAACAGGAAAAAGGATGAGAAGGGAAGGGACAGAAGAGTTTTTGCGGTCGGGAGAGAGCCTCAGGTCCTGAGTACCCATTCAGTGGGAAAGGGGACAGGGATCACCCCCGGCCACGAAAGGGTATAAAAGTTTGCATTTGGTCAAAGTGTGTGTGCGCGTTTTCGCCTCTCGGGAGGGAGACACGCGGACTCGTTACAAATGAATAGTAATTTAGTTATTATTTCCAAGACTCTGTCCCCTCTAACTGTATATCAGAGTTATTCCTAAGACACCTTTAAGTACATTCCAGCAGTAGGCTTGTGCATTAAGGACCGGTCAAAAACACATTTACAGTTAGTGTATCAGGTCTGTAACTGTGATTGTTTTTTTAAGCAAGACCCAGCAACAAAAAGAAGTAATTTCTGTATACCGGCAGCTGATGTGAGGCAGGCACGGAAAACGGGAATTGCAAAAGAAAACAAAATGCTGGCGAAAGACTTCTGGGAGCCTTGGGCTGCTGCCTTTTATGTATTAAAGGGAGAAAAGAGTAATATTAACTACAGACCTAGGAATCTCATTTAATAAAGCCGCACTGCGTTGTCAATTTCCTTATTTAAGTTATCGATCGTTGCCGACTCTGGAAATTATCATTTCCCGTCACGGGTTTCCGGGGGCCCGGCGCGTTCCGGGCAGGCAAACACCAGAATGGCAGGAGCGTGGAAACACCTGGCCGTGCCCTTGGGAAGAAGGGGCGGGATTGGGGGTGCGCAGGTGCCGGGAGGGCGCACACCGATGGCTTCCCGGGAAGGATCGCGCCCCTCGGAGCCCCCCCGGTACCTGCATGGACCGGACGGTGAGCAGCAGGTGCAGCCGCCCCCGCCGCACCATCAGCGGCAGCAGCACGGCGGCTCTGGGCAGCGGCAGGCGGCAGAACTTGTCCCCGATATCGAACTCCCTCAGGCGGCGCCGGGCCTCCTCCATGAGCCCCTGCCTAGGAGCGGGCAGAGCGGAGCACGGGCACCCTCCGGCCGCGGCCCCGGGGCAGGGATCGGCACCGGCACCGGGGCCCGGCTCCCGCTCCGCCGCCATCTCCGGCACCGCCGCGGCTGCGGCCTGCCCGGCCCCGCCCCGGCCCCGGCGGCCTCCGCCACTCAGCGCTCGAGCGTTCCCTTCGCCTTTGCCTTTTCCTTCCCCTTGCCCAGTCCCGGCTGTGCCCGGAGCTGGTGCTCGCTCCCTGCCTAGCGCGGGGCCCCATTGCCCCAGACGGGCGGCGCTGGCGCTGCTCGGCTCCGTCGGTTCCGTGCGGTCCCGGCAGCTGCCAGTGGGAGCAGGACCGTCAAAGTGCTGCATTCGTGCCCAGGCACAGAATCAGAGAACGTGGAAGAGACCTTAAAGATCACCTTATTCCACCTCCATGGTGTTAAAAATGCACTTTTAGATACAAATCGTCGAGGCAAAAAACCCCTCTTCATTAGTAACGATTCAGCTGAGCCAGCCGTGCCTCCCTTCCCCGAGGGGTGAGCACACACTCGCCGAGCATGTATGACTACACCTGATACTGTGAGATACTGAGGGTTCAGCCCTGAATGTCATGGAGGAGAGCAGCCATTCAGGATAAACCTGACTGTAGTATTGCCATAATTCTGGAGGAAGTTAGAGGAAGAATTTGAAATTGCTACTGGAAACACAGACCCGGTGGAAGGTCGACCAGAAACTGAAATAGATGAGTTAAATGCAAGGTTTGATGCTGTGTGTTTGATCAAATCAAACCAAACAACCCTTGGACCATTGTGCAAAAGAAATATCCCCTACTAGATGCTCATTACTTACTTGACACTTGACTTCTTTTTGGGAGAACAATGAGGTTTGTGTCCGAGAAAGACTTGATATCTTTGTATTAGTTTCCCTCCTTAACAGGAACAAGAAGGCCTGAAAAAGGCCTAATCACTTTGCTCAAAGGAAATAACACATAAATGGCCAAAGCAAATCCTCAGTTCGAATGCAATTTTTATCTCAGTAATTTTCTCTAGGGCATAAATCAAGTTTTGTCTTTAGAATAAAGTATTATAAGCATTTCTGTTGCGTTAAATAATTTCTTTTTCTAGTAGTCGTAGACTAGGAAATCATATTGATGGACGTTCTGGCTGCTTTACAGCATAATCAAGGCAGTCTTCAATACACTGAGTTCCAAAACATGGATTTTTTTAGAGTCTATTGTCACTGAGTTCTGTCTAGTGCTAAAAAGAAATCTGAATGAAACGATATTTTGGAAACATGTTCAGAACACCTATTTCAGCTGTTGTTATCCCCTATAGTCCACAACATCTCTTATCAGTAGAAAAATTGGTTTAGTGTCTTTTCCTGTATCCCTGTGTGGAATGTATTAACAAAGATACTGCCAAAGGAATCTCCAGTAGTACAGGATGCTACATTTATTTGATTGGGCTTTTTGAAAACAAAAGAGACCTCCATTTCCTAAGGTTTTATTTATATTAAGATAATTTTATTATTTAATTTGATCTTAGGGACGTTTTCTTGCTGGTGAAGCTGTGTATGAATCATAGCAGCAATGAAGCAATTCTCTGGTCATAGGCACTAAAAAGAACAGCACAGTTCCTTTCAGCAGATGCAGTTTAGAGCTCCCTGGCATCATTAGAAGTAATGAAAATTGGCACGGCCCACCAGAGCCTGGGTTAGCTCTTTAGAGGCAAACTGGCACCGTGCCAGGTGTGGGAAACTGCCCCAGGGTAAGATTTCCTGGAGGCAGAACCTTTAGAGCTAGTTGCTCTGCACTGTGGCCTGTGTCTGGGCTTGGACAAAGGAGCCGAGGGAGGTTCTCATCTTCTGAGGTTCTACAGCACTCATGAGGGTTGGAAGGTTCAGAGACAAAGAGCCCCAAGCAGTGCTGTGTGATTCGTCTGGGCTCAGACTTCAGTACCGAGCTCACCATTCCTGTTGCAGGTGAGTGCTTGCCAGGCGAGATGCAAACAACAAATATCAGACCATGCTCTCTAGAAATGGCATTTCTATGGAGCTCGATAATGGTCAAGATGATAAACTACACGACTACAAACTAGATAACTACAAAATGAACACTGAAAACTATCATCATCTCCCTCTTTAAACCCATGGCCACATCAGCCTTTCTGCTTTAGAAAGGGCTCTGCTCTGAGGGATGCAGAGAGTGCCCTGTGCAGTGCCCAGCACTCACCTGTGTCATAGTGCACGACAAGGGACGTGGAACAGTCACCAGTCCTCAGTGGCAGAACTCCCACTGTCACCTGCACGCTGTCACCAATGCCCAGAGTTCCCGTGGCCGGAATGACAAAGAAAGGGCTGCAAGACAAAGATGTCTTGGGCGAGATCTGGGGATGTTATCCCTTTTGCAGTCCAGTTCACTTCTGCTTGCTTGTGCAAGCAAGGAGCAAAACAACCACCGTCAGCAGAAGACAGAACAGACAGGATCAGAAACAGCTACTGACTCTAGTGGGAGGAGATCCAGCCTTCACAACATCCCGTGGGATAAAATGACCTCATCTCCCCCATACTCTGCCTCCAGCTCTCTGCAATGAGGCTCAAGGGTAATTTACATCTTGCTTACTCTTCTGGCATCAGCTCCCCTTATTGACAGAGCTGGGCAAAAGTTATGGCCATGAAGATACCAAGGACCAAGTACTCCTGACATGATTTAGAAACAGAGCTGATAAGTGAGCAAAGCTGGCAATTTTGTGACAAGACTCTCAAAGCACCATTCACCTGCAGTTTTGGTAAATGCTGTGTGCAAGGAGGCTGCAATCTACTTCAAGTCCCATGGTACACTTACCCACTATAGCCAAACGTTCTTTTGTACACTGGTGCCTTCACTGCCGTGATTAAATCATTTGATTTTGGGAGAATCCATCTCATTAAAAGCTGCCTCTCACCCCAAGGAAGGCAGAAAAATTACTGCTCATTGAATTGCCTCATTCATCCACTAACACCTATTGCAGGAAGAACCCCAAATATCCTCTAATCTTAAAGTGTATTACTTTTTAGTGATGGCGTAACAGCTGAAGTCAAACAGCTTGAACTATTCTAATAAATCCAGTCTGTTAGGTTCAAGCAGCCGTTACTCCATCCCTGTGCTGAAAAATTCTATACAGAGTCAGCAGATCACAAGCTCCATCTTTCCCTCTGTCACTGCACCCAGGCTCTATTTCATCTACTTCAATATTCAATTCCTGAAGTTCAGAAACTCTTTAAATCACTATCAAGCAGGATCCAACATGCTCTGTAGCACTCAGTAGAACAACTGGCAAGCCATTACAAAAGAATACCAGACTTTATTGGGTATTTCTTTTGATGGCGACAAAACAAGGTCTAGAAATCCCAGAGAAAAACTGTGCATGGATTTACAAGTTCCTGCCTACACATTTGCACAGTCAAAAGCAGCAGCCTGCTTGAACAGCATCCCAGGAGCCTGCTTAAATAACTTTGGCAGGCTTTGGTGGAAGCTCCTCTCAGACCCTCATGTTTCAGAACAGCAAAGTCCATTTGCCTTTTTGACCTCTGTTTTGCCAAAGAAAAAATCAAAGCCACTCAGCTGTGCCAGGTTAGACAGCAAGTCTGTGCTGCATTCCTGACCTCAGCTCCTACACCAAGACCTCTGGCATCAAGTAACCCTCAACTCACCACCAGCCAACTGAACTGGTTTCCTTGCAGATACCGTGTCAAAAAATGCATTACCCTCTGCAGTTCAGCCAACAGGACAAACAG